GAGAATAATACCATGCTAGAAGGATATAGTCTTTTGTTCTTCTTCTGTAATCTTTAGGTAAATTTTCCATTAAAAAGAGTCTTTGATTCTGGAATTGTTTTGTTATCAAATTCAATGGATTATTCCATACAGAGATTCGTTCAATCTCATTCCCAACTAATGGAAGTAAAAGCATTGCTCTTTGTTTAATATTGTCAATAACTTCATCATCTAATCCAAACTTTTTTTCTTTAATACTTTGAAGAACATTTAATAATGTTTGATTAAATTCAACAAGAATATTAATATCATGTTCTGCTTGAGTCCTACTGCATTCAAACCACTCTGGCTGATTTTCAAACCAATTTAATCCAACAGTTTCAATACTCTCAACCATTGAAGTATAATGAATACCTTCTCTTTGACTTAATGAAACAATTTTTAGTCCAAGAAGCAATAACATAAAACGTGTTCCAACTGAACTTGGTTCAGGAGTCATTTGAGCTTTAAGAGAAGATGAAACAATGTCTCTAATAATTTCAAGACGAGTAGTATCTCTGTATGCCTCAATAATAGGAAGAATATTTGAGAAAAATTTAATGATTTCTCTATGTGGAACAACAGAGCTTGCATGAGTAGATTGTTCTCTATTTCCTACTGAACTAGATAATGGATTAGAAGTTACATATTTACTATTAAATATTCCAAGGTTTTTCTTAATAGTTTCTTTCCATGCAACACCAATAAGTTTCAAAAGATAATTACCCATAACTTTGGAGCTTACACAAATTAACCATTCCCAATTTGGTACAGCTAATTCCATAGCTTCTTTTGTAAATATTCTCATTGGAGAATAAACAATTTCTTGAAGTAGATCACTAGACTCTGAAATACTCAAATTATTTACAACTATAAACGAAACTGCTTCTTTAGTAATATCATTCTTCATATTAGAATAGTCAAATGTCTTTAATTGTTGAAGTAAAGATGTTCTAATATTATCAACTTCTGTTGATCCACTAACCATTCCTGTACAACTTGCCTTCTGAAAGATGTTGAATGTTAAATCAGACATGTCAATAAATTCTCTTCCAACATTTAAAGCTAATTTAACTCCTGCATGAGTATGACTTGAATTTGTTGGTAATTGAAGGATGAATGATTGAATTAAATGACTCATGTATTTAGATTGTAATTTAAATCCTAATTTAATATAATTAGTTGTAAAATCACTTACATTCTTTATTACAGTAGAATAAGTATTAGAATCTTCAGGTGTTTCAACAAAGAAATTTGTTTGTGCAATTCTAACATTCTTAACATCAAGAGGATTACTTGTATTCATTTTTGAAATAGTTTCAACCATATGGAGTAATAAGAAGAGAATTTTTTTATTATAGACAATAGATTTATTTGAATCAATCAAATCATTTAAAGATGAATTTACAAATGAAAACAATGTTTGATTTGTTGTTGTTAATCGTATTACAAAAACACTCACTAAATTGGTTAATGCTTTAGTTCGTTCTGTCAATGATAATTCTAATTTAGATGCTTCCGCTTTAGCCACTGAAAATACTGATTTAAATAATGAAGAATAAACCGGAGTAATAAATGTACATAAAGGATCTTCTACAACAGAATCATCAAGATAATCTGTAATATATTCAAATCGAAGTTGAGAACATCTAAAACATTCTAAATAAAATATAGAAATGAACATTAACATTCTGTTTAATGGTATTCCACGGTTATAATTAATAAAATCACTTCTCTTTATTAAACTATCTATAAACATCTTTTGTTGTTCATTAGAATAAAATCTCGTTAATGTAGAATTTGTTTCATTATCAATCTCAGCTAATATATGACTTCTTTTCATAATTAAAGGTGGAAGATTACTTGCAATATTTTTAATGTCAGTGTAATAAATTTCATTATACTCTTCTTTTATAACAAACTTTAGAACAACACAATAGAACCAAAATGTTCTAAACAATTTGTTTTCATTATTTTTATTTATACTATTTTCCATTCCACTAACTAATAAACTAATTGGCTTTAATAATTTTCCCATCAATTCAGTTTCTTTTCTTTTACTTATGTCTACATCAGTTTTTGTTGTATTACCAAATTGAATAAATCTTCCAACTATTTGTTTTAATAAATCAAATCTTATTTCTTGATTTGTTATACTCTTAGCCATAGAAGTTAATGCCTCATAAATACTATTAAGAACATTAGTAATATCATTTTGTTTTTGTGATACGGCATCCCTATCAGCTCGTTTAAAAATATTCATAATATGATCAATAACTAGTTTATATTGGTTATAATCATTTAGAGATAAATATGATGGAAGGGTATTAATAATACAAATATCTTTATTTGAAGGGGGATAGTCAATAAGATTTATTAGATAATTTAACAAATTTTGTGTTGCATTTTCATTAGCTTTTTCAATACAAAAATATGCAGTAAATTGAATAAGATTAGTAAATTGAATCTATTACATTAGTTCTTTTATTTCTTTCCTTTAAAATAAACAAACCATTGAACACTCTGATGATGAATGAAATATTGAAATTTGTGACCGAGTTGTTTCAAGGAAACGAGGAAGTAATTCTTCAGTAATAATAGGTGAAAATATTTTAATAATGGTTTTCAATTTGTCATTTGGAATATTGCTAAAAACACAATGCTTTCTGAAGTCATCTAAACATCTTGGGTCATGTGTTGAAAGTAATTTAAGAGCAAAACAAATTCTGTCATAGTAATTAGATAATCGAAAATAGTCCAATAATAATATTTCTGATAATGTACTTTCTAAATCTCTTATTGTATTTGGGTCTTGTTGTGCCAAGGCAATATGATATTCTAATTGTTCTATAATAGAACACTTCTTTGGTAAATTAAATTTATCAATAGTATATTGTTCATTTAATAAGGCAATAATTGGTCTAACTATTTGTTCATTTGAGTGATTTTGTTCCATTGATTCTATGAGTTGTTTTTTTTCCTCATCACTAAAAGCAGTAAATTTTTGAGTATTCATTACATTAATCATAACTCTAACCTCTGTTGACTCTTTTTTATTTAAGATATCAAGTAAAGACTTAAATACAACTTCATGTATTGAAGACCCTTTTGGATGATTAAGTACTTCTTTAAGATATGAAGTATGCTTTTCATTAACAGTAATAGAAGGAAGTGCCTGAATATATTTACTGAGTGTTTCAGTTAGTTCTTGGTACATTGGATGATTTTGTTGAATTCCGTTATAAAAAACATGAAGACCAATCAATGTTTCAATAATAAGAACAGACTGAATACCCTCTTCTACTTTACAAGTTAGGAGTGTTTGAAAGAAAGGTTTAAGTCGTTCATGATGAGATTTAATATTTCCTTTTAATAGAATTTGAATATATTTCAACTTTAGCGACATGAACTATTAAATAAAGATGATCTAATATACTTTTTTTGTTGTTTAAATAACACATTTAATGAATAGTCATCTTTTTCCATGTTGCTTCACAGTCAAAACAACTCAACTTCCTCTTCATATTATAGAACTTCATTCAAGTTTTTCTCAATATTTATCTGTGGTTGATATTGATGAACAAGAATTTGAAAAAATATACTTAAACTGTCAAAAAAAAGAGATTACTTCACATGGGTTATTAGGAGCATTTAAGTCAGCATTAAAAGAAGTACCTACTCAGTCAATTGAGATTATGTCATTACTTCCATTTATTAATGCGAATGATTTTATTATAGTTTCAATTACTCCAGAACAATCAAATAAAATTTATTTACATCAAATTCAAAAAAAGTTAGAACAAAGTGATTATTTTTCTTCATGTTGTATTGAGGTATTTAATAACTTTCAATTTATATCTACATCATCATCTTTAGTTAAATTAAGTGTTGTTGAAAGTTCGTCTTGTATTTCTTTATTACAGTTATTATCAAATGTTACTGAAGAATTAAGGAAAAATGAAATACTTTCACGTTATGTGTATGTATTACAGAAACTGATTCAACATGTTATTCCATCATGTTCTTTATTTTATTATATATCATTTGTTGTTCATTTTATGAAATGGATTAAAACAAATAAAGATATCACTAAAATTCCATCATATTTAAGTCTTAAAACAACTGCATTAGAGTTTTGTCATTTAAAAGAATTACTTCCACAAGAATTATCATCGTTATCTTCAATTGAATTATTTCCAAATTCAATCTTTTCTACTCAAATTATTAAACAAAAAGAATCAAATGTTGTTGCATGTGCTGGTATTCCTTCATTTGTTTCAGTCTTCGATATTCAACACTGGCTAAAACCATACCGCGCTCTAAGATTTTTAATGTATCAACCTTCATTTTGTTCTGCACAAACTCAACGATGTGGAGTTGTATTTATTGATTTTGATTCTATAGAAAGTGCATTAATTATGATTAAAACTCCACAACTTATAAATGCCAGATATGCCAAATATTTTGATCCATTAATTTTTAAATATCCACCAAGTGGATATTCATATTGTACAATGGAACCAATAGAGTGGGTTGCTTCATCAGAACTACACCCGTGTTGTGAAATTTCAATAACAAAATCAACTCAACAATAAGATAATTAATCCCGAAAATTAGATAATGATTAATTAATAATAAAATTAAAAAAGCAATTAAATAATTTTAAAATTTATTTTTTTAAATAACAATAAAAATTAATAAAGTTAATAGTATTAATAAATTCTGTCGAATTAAAAACTATCAATACATCATTATTCTAAATATGAACTAAAAAAACTTAAAAATTAGAGCTTTTCAAAAATTTGGCTTTTCAATGGATAAAGAAATTAAAATATTTATAAAGAAAAAAGTTTAACAACTCTCTACCATTAATACAGTTTAATCTTAAAGAAAGAGGAGAATATGAGAGAAAAAGCTAAAAAATTTTTCAAAAAAAAGGAACTTTGAAAAGGAAGTGAACTAAATTTTAATAGAATAAAGATATGGATAAAGAAAAGGTAGAAGAAATTCGTAATCAAATACAAGATGGACTTAATCCAATTTTAATAGAATATTCAATTTGGCTAGAAATGAATAAAGTTTGTTTTTATTAAAAATATATTTAAATATTTTAAATAAAAGAAGAATAACAAGACAGTTTCATATGGAGTCAAAACATTTAAAAGAACGAATTCCACAAAGTAATTTTTCAACAGTTTGTATTTAACATTTTTGCTCTTTATTTATTTCTATTAATTTTGTATCATTTTAATATTTATTTTTTTAAGTCAATTATTTTACTTCATTTGATTCATTAGTACAGATGTTAAAAGCTGAACTTATTAATAAATGTAAAGAAAACCCTTCTACTAGAACTAAAAGTTTGTTACTCTTTTTTTTAATTGATGGCAAATGATTTAAAACCATTAATCTTTCAACCAATCTTCACGTAATCTACTTTTCTAAATTAGTTTAATGAAAAACCCTAATAAGGTGTTTTTGAATGAAAGAAAAGTAATGAAATGAAGAAAAAACAACATTATAAGACTCTTATCTCTTATTTTTAGTTAGTTCACTTACCGTTTCTTTTAAAGAGGCAATAAAAGAAGTCAAACAACATCCTATTGAAAAGAAAGAACCAAAACCAACAAAAACTAATAGAGGAAAGAAAATTAGAAGAAAAATTTCAGAAGAAGATGAATATGAAGAAAAAAGAACTAAGAAAAGAAAACACACCAAAGCTAGATTACTTTGTGGAGAACGAAATAACACTGTTGTATTTGACTTTGATACAAAAACTCAATTCCCTGTTGTTTTCGGAAGAGGAAAAGAAGGAACACATGATGGTAGTTTCATTTATCTAAATAAATATACAGATGCAAAGTCTATTTCTCATAGACATGCAACTATTACGTATGATAAAGAAAATGACCAATATTTATTTACAAATGAAGGAAGAAATGGAAGTGCTGTTGACACTGGGTTGATATTACAAAATACAGTTCCGTTAAAGAACAACTCAGTAATAGAAATGGGTGGGTTTAAGATGACATTTGTCTATTATAATTAAATGGAAAGTACTGAGTTGTATAATGACTATTTTTTCTTATATTTTATGATTTTCGTTTTTGAAATAGATTGACTTTTGTTATCTTTATTTCCTTTGTTGGTAATAAAATTAATTGAAAAGTTACTTTAATGAACTCTAAAAGTTTCAGTTATGGAAGAAGATAAATGTCTTATTCTCATTGAAGTTCCTTTAGACATCACATTAAAAGAAGTTAGTGATATTCTTGATAACTGTGGTAAAGTAACGTTGATAGAACCATATGAAATTGATGGAATGATTAAAAAAGATGGGTGTCAAGATTTATTAATTAAGTTTGAAGAAGATGAAGGAAGAACTATTGCAAAACAAATAGGAGGAGTCAAATATAAAGATTGGGTTATTAAAGTAAAAACTGTAGAAGGATATTATCGATATAAAAAACAAGAACAAGATGATTCTGAACTTCAAAACCAAATTAAAGAAGGAATAACTAATATCATTAATTATTTCAAAAACCTTACAAAAGAACCTTCAGAAAATCAGATCGTTGTTGTTGATTCTAATGGTCAACAACGGGTATTTCAGAAAAAGGAAAAACCATTACCACCTATTCCTATTAATAGTAGTAGACCATTACCTTCAATTCCTCAACCAAAAATAATACCAATTAAAGAAGATGAATTAAACCAAACAAGTAAAGAACAAGAAACTGAGTTACAAGAGAGTCATGGAAACATTCAAGAAGTAGATGAAGGAGAAGTTTGTGAAAGTAACTTAATATTAAAGGATGAAGAAATTGTTTTATAAAAATAGTAATTTATAATATTAGATTTAACAAAACAATACTTTTTGTTATTTTATGAAAATAAATAATTTTTAATGTTGATGTTTTGGAAAAAGACATAAAACTCAGATATTAATTTTTTATAATAATGGTTTATATCTGTATTAACCATTTTATCAGTTGTTTCTATAAATTAAAAATGAATTAAATAAAATAAACAATGATTTTTTAAATTCTACTAATAAAAGAATAACTTTCATAAAGGATAATACTTAAACAACATATTTTGTTTCATTTGTCATTATAAAAACCTAAGAAAAAATAAGGAAAATAGTCTATTATTTTTATTGGTAATAATGGTTATATAAAAGATATAATAAAACATTTAAATAAACAAAAATTCAACACTATTTAGTAAAATTAAGTAATATTCATTGAATTATTAAAAAAGTAAGTTATAATAACAAATTTTATATGGAAAAATATTATTATTTTCAATAAGAATTATTAATGGTTTATTTGTTATTTTGGAAGAAAGGAGTTATAAATAAAAGTGTGTTAGTTTAGAATAATTTAGAAATATAGTGTTGTTTGATTCCTTTGAGAAACATAAAACCTCATAATAAGGGATATTAGAAATATTGTTTTTTGTTATTAAAAGATTTTTGTATATTTTTTTATAAGTTTTATTTAACACCCGAAGATAAAAATGAAATAGAAGATAATTTTAACTAATCATCACACAACTCAAAATATTAAAACAATTAAATGAATTTTTGTTTTTATCGTTTTAGAATAAATTTTTATTCTCTTTTGAGTCTTATAGTTTTTTTAAACATCAAAAAAAAGAAATAATATACCTCTTTAGCACATGTAAAACTTCAATAAATTTTAATTCTATATTTTCCATTTGTAATTGAACTTGTTGGATAATAAAAATACGTCATTTTACTATATTTTTAATAACATTTTTAATTATTTAATCTTTAAGAAAAACATCATCATCAAAACTCTTGAAACAACATTTAAAGATTTCATAAAACTTAATAAATCATTAATAACAAAAGAAGTAATGAAACTTATTAGCCCATTTGAAAGAAAATCAGTTATTAGTTTAGGAAATGGTGTTTATGAAGTTGCACTTTCTCAAAGTGAAAAACAAAAAGATTTGTTATTAGCTAAAAGAGCATCAACCGAAAGAGACTCTGCACAACAGTCATTCTTATTCCGTATTTTAGTTGATAATGGGTTTACTGTTTGTTTAAAGAGATTATATAAGAAAGGAAAGACTACATCACAACTGTTTGTAGTTGAATCAATTACGCGGGATGGTAAAAGTTATTTTGAAGAAGTTATTACTGATAACTTATCAGAAGATAAAAAAAAGAAAAGAAGAAATGCTGATGCAAAAACTAATGATTGTCTTATTAAAATTGCTTCAGATTATTGTTGGGCTTGTTTTGAATTTAAAAAAGGAAAACAAAGCGTTGTATGTTCTCAAATGAAACGAATCCAAAATGCACAAATTGGTTCAAAAATCTATGGGTCAAATCTTATATTACAAGAAGGAAAGAAAATGAATCAACACATATTATCGATAATGTCTTCTCATGGATGTATTCTTTCACCTCAACAAAGTCTTGTCAAATGTTAAAAAATTTAATTTATTGTAATAAAGAAAAGGTAAGTAAGTTTTTTGTGTATCTAAGTTGAATGGGTTTTTAGAAGTACTTTTATTTTTGATAACAACATTTTGTTATATTATTTGTTATTAATAAAAAATATCTCAAGAAAAAATTAAACTGCAAACAAATCAAATGAATATCATTGGATTTACTAAAGATTGGACTACTGAATTTTATGACCAAAGAAGTAACTTCTTAGGTGGAACTATT